ATTGCGGGCGCAAGCTATAAAACCAAAGAAGGTGGCAGGAAGAGAAACAGAAGAAGCCAAGTATTAAATGATGCCGTGCCCAGGAGAGGGAAATGTACCTGAGTGAAAGCAAAGTGGAACAAGGGGTGGTGGTGTAAGGAGAGTAGTTTCAGCATAGCAAGCCGAGCGTGCTGGAAGAAAATGCAGTGAATTAACAGCATGTTAGACTCACTTTGTGCACAGCTGGATTGGAGAAGGGACAACATTCCAGGTTCTCAAGAAAAAATCCTCCACCCTTGGGAGATGATCTGTATAGGGCGGCCTGCTGATGGAGTGATGCTTTCCTTCTGCTATTTTTTCCAGAGGTAAAATTGTCAGGTGCGTTCTGTGCTACTCGCTTACTCACTGGAATGGGAACAGCAGCCACGGTTCAGGGCTCCTTTGGAAAGCCAGAATAGCCCTTTAAACAAGATTCTTAAAATGGCAGGCAAAGCATTCATGTCACTCCCTCCCCTGCCATGCCCCGTGAATCATGACCCATTAAGCTCCCAAAAATAAATAGTTCGTAACAACTGAGCTGGTAGCTTTGAGTCATGAGTGGACTGTGTGACTTTCTTTCCTCTCTTCTTTTGACTGCCGTTCCAAAAGCCCCCCCCCCCCCCACATGGTCACTGCACCAAGTTCTGGTCTCTTCTTCCACTTGATGCAGAAAATTTCTTCCCCATGAGAACTTTTATTGAATCCGTGGGTAAATACAGAAACGGTAAATGTTAAATAAGTTCTTGCATTTAGCGTTTTGCTTGATGCCAGTGCTGCAAAGGAAGGTTGTGTTGAGTCAGTTTCATGGGCTTTAGAGGAGGGAGACAAAACGTCGGCATTAGGGGCTCTCTTGCCTGGTGACACTGTGCATTTGGGCACACATGATGGACCGATGGTCTGATTCAGTATAAGGCAGCTTCGAGGTCAGTATCGCACGCTCAGACTGGCAGCAGCTCTCCAGGGTCTCGGACTGAGGTCTTTCACATCACCCACTGCCCGGTCCTTTCAGCTGGAGATGCCGGGGATTGAACCTGGGACCTTCTGCATTCAAAGCCGAGGCTCTTCCACCGAGCCGTGGCCCCTCCTGAAGCGAGAGGTTCCAGGGTGTCTCCCTCTAGTGAGATCGAGTCCGGTGGTGGCATGCCTGACTTGCCCAGGACCACCCAGTGAGTTGTGGAGTCCAGAGGCCTGGGTGCTTTGAACCCAGGTATCCCTGTTGCCTTGTGGTGCTTTTCTCTGGGATGCTGAAACTCGTAGACAGCTTTCCCGCTTGTATCTTAACCTTGCTGGTGTTGACATATTTGCATGTTAACCATGGTTATAAAGCCTTCTAGAGCAGTGATGCAGAGGCAGGGTATTTAAATACATGGTGTGATTCAGCATCTTTGCCATAAGAGCTCTGTCTCCTTGAAGCACACTGTCTGAAAGCACTGTTTTCCTTGAGCAGATGAGGCAAGCGGCATGCAGCTTGTTTAAGTCCTATCGGAATTGTTCCTGGCAACCGGCGGGGAAGTTCTTGGCTGCTTTGAAAGCACATTTGTAGCGGTGTGCCTGCTGCCAGGGTTGCTAATGCGGCACAGCCCCTCCACCCTCTGCAAGGTCGCGAGAGCAGCAGGAGGCCGTGCCCCCTCGTTCCTGCGCCACCTGCACGAGTCGGCGTCGCGAACCAAGTTTGACAGCTGTTCCATCTGCCTCCGCTTGCTGTTCTTGTTCCCGTCAAGATACGGCAGCTTTCGAAGGAAATCTCTGCATAACCTTTCTAGGAAAGGAACATTTCAAGTCCAGGCTGCTTGATCTCCGTGGCTTGCCTGAATCGCAGGGCTTGTTCATAGGAACCCAGTTGCCTTTTATGATGGTGAACATGGTTTTCTGCAATGGTGAGGCTACGCCCAGGCATCATGCGCACACGTTAAGCCCAAATGTGCACAGACTGGCTCCTCCCTCCTGCCATGCAGAGCATAACAGCAGAGTCCCATTCAGTGCTCCCTCTAAGCTGTGCAGGAAGCCCCGCTCAGCAGCATTCTGGAGCCACGCAGGGTCTTGCATGGCCCATGGCCCGTTTTAAGATGACAGCAGCAGGTGTAACTTGCTCAGGCACACGGCTTCACTGAAGTTCCCTTCCAGTCACAGGCAGGGATTCTGTACCAGAGTTTCAAATCTTGTCGATCCAAAGGTCCTTGGCTTGGCAGGAGGGGTGCTTGTTTGTGTTCCTCCCCCATAGGGAATTTCAGGAGGAAGAGCTGACTCAGGAAGGCCCTTCGCTTCTCTTGCTGACGACTCACGGGTTTAGTTGGCGCACAGCCTGATAAGCTCTTTCTCTGGGTGGCACAAAATAACGAAGTGCGCATCCGTTCTAACAATCGAATATTGCACCTGTAATCAGAACTGAAATAGAAACTGATAAAAAGGACGACATTTTCTCTAGCTAAAGGTAACAGGAATCCTCCTAAACTGTGACAGTTGGGACCAAGTTAGATGTGATGCAGAAGCAGGAAGAGTTTCCTGACCTTCTCTTGTCCTCTCCCCCGTACAGCTGCTGAAACGCAGGAAGAGTTTCCTGACCTTGTCCTCTCCCCCGTACAGCTGCTGAAAAGCAGCACTGGAGCCAGAAAATGGGGGAAGGGGCACATTGACCTGTCTGTCCACTCAGACCCCCTTCCCCAGCTGTTTTCCTACTTCCAGAGATTTAAAATAAATAGAGTTCCCTTGGTCTGTTTCCAAATAGTGACATGGTGGTTTTCATGCGGCTGGTGGGGCTTCAGGTGACATTTGAAAATCCACCTCGGACAATGCAATCCTGACTTTAAGAGGCCAAGAGAAAGAACATAGAGTTTTGTTCTTCGTTGGCCATTTGCAAGGTGGTCGCTTTGGTGTGCACGAAGAGATTCCTCACCTGATATCAGAAGGGTCCGCGTTCTCCACATGCGGTTGGTGGAGCAATGATTATGGACTGTTCATGGGCACTCAGGGAGGGGTACCTGGGTATTGGTGGTCACCCACAAGGATGGCAAACTCACAACCTGAGTGACGGAATTTGCACACAGTTATCCATAGAATCACAGAATCCTATAGAATCACAGAGTTGGAAGGGGCCATACAGGCCATCTAGTCCAACTCCCTGCTCAGTGGGAGCGAGATTTGCGTAATGCACTTCCTGCATCATGGGGTGTCATGCCTTGGGCAAGTGTTTCTTTTTCTGCTTGTTTACATGCATTGATCTCCAACTTAGTACTCCTAGTCTTAGTACTTTGTTCATAGAGTGTCCTCTGCTGTCTGAACTGGCTATATATATAGATATATGTGTGTGTGTATAGTGAGAAAGACAAGACAGCCTATACGTAACTACATAAAAATAAATAAGGTTTACTGTCTGTTGTGAGCCACTGTTGGTGGTCTCACATACCTTGAAGGGTTGTTGTGAGGCTAAAATGGTGGAGGTAGCCATGTGTGCTGCCCTGAGGGCAAGAACAGGCAGCAAGTTCATTTTAGTGAGGGCCAGTGTCTGCCTTGAAGAAGGGGCTCTCTCAAAACCCACAGACGGCCCTTTGTCAGCTGCCACATTGTCCTCCGTTCACTCCCTTCAACCTGCAGCATGGACGTCCTGGTTTCCTTTTCCTTTAAGATGCAAACGTTGCAGGCAGCATCATTTTCCATCTCCGCTTTCCTTAGACTCCCAGTTTTGCCCTTGAAGCGGCCGTGGCCTGGATCTCTAGCAGAGCGAGTCACTGAACAGAAACCAGTTTGGTGTCGTGGTTAAGTGCATGGACTCTAATCTGGGAGAACCGGGTTTGATTCCCCACTCCTCTGCTTGCACCTGGCTGGATGACCTTGGGCAAGCCATACTTCTGATAAGAGCTGTTCTTGAAAAAAGAGCAGTTTCTGTCAGAGCTCTCTCAGCCCCACCCACCTCACAGGGTGTCTGTTGTGGGGAGGGGGAGGGAAAGGCGTTTGTAAGCCGCTCTGAGACACCTTCGGGTAGTGAAGGGCGGGGTGTAACTCAAATCTCTTCTTCTTCTTCTTGTAGCCTCTGCTGCACCCCACAGCTGGTGGTGGAGCCTCTGGGTTATCCCTACAGCAAGCCTTAGGTCTGTCTTGGCCTTGGCCTTCGGGGATGGGTTCTGAACAGACAGCTAGCATAGCATGACGTGGGGGAAGGTACCAGGTGGAACGTCCCCTCGGCCACCGTCTGGCCTTCGGCGAGCTGGGATCTCTCAGCCTTGCCCCCCCCCCCCAAAAAAAAAAAATTTTGTAAATTGGAGTATCATCAAGTCACAGCTGACTTATGGCCTTATGGCAGGGCTTTCAGGGGAAGAAGTGTTCAGAGGCGCTCTCCCCTCGCCCTGCCTGGGTGCCACGGTGCCCGGGGGGGGGGGCCCTGCTCAGCTTCCAGGGTCGGACAAGGTCAGGCCCGCCTGGGGGCCCTCCACCTTGGGGCTGTAGATTGGGGGGGCCAGGGGGGGGATCACGTAACCCTGAGCTACAGGCCCATTGTGGGGAAGGCTGGGGTTCATTCAGCCCACTGCAAGGATTTGAGGGCGGGGGGAACTCTGGATGGTAGCTCTGCATACTGCGGGGGTAGCGGGGAGCATCTTTTCCTTTTTTTAATGCTCTCCTTGCGTCAAAGGACTCCCTGTGTGCAGTCAGGTCAGGTCAGGTAACACGTTGCAGAAAGGGCTGTGCTGATCTGCTTGTTCTGGGGCACTGTGGCTTCTTGTGCGAAGGGGGTCTGATGCAGGAGAGCAGTCGGCAATTTTGCCCCACCCGCCCCGTTCCCCTGAAGCAGTCCAGGATTCAGCCACCGCCTTCTGTGTGACGTGCCCGTCCCCCCCCCAAGATAACAGAGGGACCCCCCCTGCTTTGAACATTTGAGATGTGCTGTGTAAATGCTAATTTTTGCAGTCAGCACATTGCCATGTTTGCCAATAACTTCTTCTGTCTCTAACGTTCTGTTCTGGGTGCTCTTTTTGTTTTCTCCCCTACAGCTGCCATCAACCTAGCAAAGCTGAAGCTGTTTAGACATTACTACGTCATGGTAAGGATCTGCCCGGCTCTGTCTGAGGCTTGGCTGGGGGGGGGGGGGGGGGGG